GCAGTCGGAGGGCATTTTCCCCGATGATGATTACCTAGCAACCTTCACGACAGGCCCCATTGAATGTTTTGGTGCTCTCTCTTGCTGCAGTTATGTGTGTATATATATAGGGAATGCCACCATCCTATGTACATATATATGTGTATACAAAGTAAAGACTTCCGCATTTAGGGAAATGTAGGCCCAGAACGACTTTTTCGCAGCCTCCCGTTCCGCAGCCGTTTTGGGGGTCACCTTTGCTATTTTTGGGTTTGCAGAGGGTGCCCAGCTGGGTGGAGAGTCCGCCCCACATGTTTTCCCCCCTTTGGAAGCGGCTAAGCTGCAAATCGATGAAAGGCCCATAGCTGCAAATCAGCGCCAGTGGAAAATGAACACGTCAGCAACCCCCAAATGGAAAACGGGGAAGGGATTTGGGTGGAACTGCGCAGTGTGCAGTGTTACTGGGCCTACCACCTGGAACCAGCCCGTACACCACCCCGAATCCTCTACCCTATGGAACTCACATGCAGCTGCGTTTATTTTTGAGAATTATGACATAATTTTTGACATTTAGATGCGCAGTCAAAGGAGGCACGGGGCGAAAGACTTACATAACTCGAAAATACTAAACAACTTGAACTTGACTCTGGTCTTTGTTTGGAGTCGGTTTTTTCTCGTTCGTGTCCTGAGTAAACAGGTTTTGCCCACACCTACAGCAGTTTCACTTTCTTCACGGCCATAAATCAGGACCTGCGAGGAACCAAAATACAGTAACCCAAAACCGAGACAAGAACATCAAGTGCTCATTGTTTGGACTTTTGTTTGGGTATCTTTCGGATGCACATGCCTAACTACAGTTACGGCAAGTCGGCTGACTAACTTTCTAATTATAGTCGGGCATTATCGGTCTGCAGGGAGGGCAGGGTAGGGTCCGTCCGCAATGCGTGCCATTTTGGGATTAGCCACCAACCAGCTGCCTTCCATTTGCTACCTGATAGTTGGCACTGGGTTTTCGTATCTGAACCCGGCGGGCTGAGTTGAGGAGAACCCCAGGGACTGTCTCACAAACTGCCGCGTCAGTACCTCTGCTCTAATTAAGCCCGCTAATGCCGTCTAACGATGACTTAATTGCCTTCATTCCCTACTCAGTCGGCTTTGGCGAGTGAAAAGCGCCTTAAAGGCGGTCAGCGCCTTAAAAGGCCAAGACTAGTTCCAAAATAGCTCACTAAGGAATTGGCACTGCTACAGAGAGATAAATAATCACCGAATTGGGTCGATGCTATGGAAGAAATACTTTCCCTATTGCTTACTCCACAGTAATTTTCAACTGCAGAAACTCAATAAACAATAACTTTTGAAACAATATCAATTGCTTCTGTTGAGAGAGACATGTACTTTTTCTTCCAGTGCATCAGTTGGACTTGCTGTGACTACGGTTACCCTTTTGGCCAATTAAGGCGACCAGATTTGTTGGCCACGATCGCATCGAGGCATCCAACTGACTTTATCTGCCAGATACACATTTGGCTGAGTTCGCTTAGCTGCAGCATCATCAGCTGTTCGCTGTTTATGTTGTTGTCTGTGGCTTTTGTTTTTCAATTTTTCTTTCATTGCCACAGACAAACAACTGGCCAGACTTGATTTATCATCCCGGACTATTCTACCCATTCGTTTTGGGCCCCTACTCCCTTCTTCCTACCCCTCCGTTTCAATCCAGCACCTTCGGTTCTTCAGAGGTTTTTTTTAGCTCTTCAGCTCGAAAAATGGACAATGGACAATGGCAACTGCAAGACCTGTTCTGCACATTTGCCGCATGATTCACTTGGGTTTTTGGGCCTGCTTTTGTGGTTGGAGCGGAGTGGCAAGGTTTCTCCTCAAAGTGCTCCCTATTTTCGTTTGCTTTTCAGATGCATCTCAACATCTGAGCAAATGTTGGCAGGCATCCAGGCGGTTTATTTTGGCCACAGCAGTTGAGGAAATAATTGCAAGGCTAATTAAGATGTTAATCAGCGAAACATTCATTGCACTTGCCATCGCCAGTTGACACTCCATGAACACACAATGATTGCACAAAAAAATTTAACTCGATCGGGGGGCAAAGTGCAGCAGCTATATACATAAGTCTGAACACTGAGAGAAAGGATTCTACAAACGAAATCAGAATTTCTCAATGTTTTATACTGGCTTGCAATTCTACATATTCATCAAATTATTGTAAGCCAACTTCATACAACATATATATTCCAATAAGCTCCACATGAGTAACATTTGAATTGGATTATTCCAGTGACTTATTCCTTCTCAATTTGCCCACATTTTTTTGCAGTGCACACAGCTGGGAAATGCTAGTGATCTGAGATGTGGCACGGCTCTGATAACGATCGCTACAAATGCTGAAAACGTGATGCAAGTCAAATTTATGGCTATTAGATGCCCAGAATGGAAATCCCCTTAACAAGAAACTCGGCCGATTTGCACCCAAATACAATTGGGGGAAAACTGTGTGTGTGTGAGTACATGTGGAGAAGGAAAACTGTTGGCCTGACTGAAAGCCAAGGAAAACTCACACAGTCGCAAAAGTGTGAACTCTTTGAATGCGAAGGTGCAATCAGAATTTTTTCCTGCTTTTTCGTATGTATCGCTTGGCTGCACTTGAGATGTGTGTACATGTAAATCAGCTTGCAGCAGAACTTTTAAGAAACATATCTGAGCATGTGTTGGTGCGCGTGTGAGTGTGAGTGTGAATGTCCTTTCCTTGGAGAAGGACTTCCGCTTAAATTTCTTCCTGCTTTTTTGGGGGTTAAAACTGCACTTACTTGCTGCCCGGAGTTTATTGATCGATCGGTGTCGGAATCTCCCCGTATTCACTGCAATAATTTGCACCAGCAAGGCTTTTTCGCACAGTTTTCGAAATGTTTTTTAATTTCCGTGCTTATGGTTTGTGCTGGTTACTTCCGTTTTTGCTTAACTGAGGGGGTGAGAAGTGCGGAGAAGAGCAGAGCTACAGGAACTCCGTGACGTATGCTAGCAACAACGACTGACGAGCGAATGATGGCAGAAGGTCTACAAACTGGCCAACAAAGCTGGTTGCCCCCATATGTGTGTGCCTCTAATGTGCGCTGGTGTTGATGCGCTGCCCGTGTATTGGTGGCTCTACAGCTGAGCCCGACACACTTACCCTGTTTCTGCCTCTCCGCATCGCCTTCCGCTGCTGCGCATGTGCAAGAGAGGCACCTCGGATACTCTATCCAAATCTAAAGTAACCCAGCTATGTCACTGAAGTCGACATATTGTAAGTGCTTATGCTGTTTATACTAACATTTTTATGTGCTTACTCTTTGTAAAAACATTTAATACAAATAATGCATTTCTAATAGACGTCAAATAAGACGTTAATATAAATATTATAAATACATATTGCCTTAGCTATTAGAGTAAACGGTGTCGTTACCCAAAGAAAAAATTCAAATTTTATAAAACTGAGTTTACGAAAACGAGAGCGTATGGAGAGCGTACAAATTTTGTTAGAGTAGAGCATTTCATAACCACCATAATATTTATTTTATTACTTTTCGTATTTGGCAAGCCTCTCATTTTCTCTTCAGCAGCTGATTTTGTTTGTATACAAAAGTCATATTGCATTCTGAGAGCAGGAAGAAAATGGGAGAGGAGAGTGAATAAATGGTAAGTAAATAAAGAGTGGAATAAGGGAAGGGAAAGATGAGCAAACGAATAAGGAAAAAGTCACAAAAGCTTTATTTGTGGTTTTAAGACAAGTAATTACTAATATGCATAAAAGAAAATAGCCTATGATTTAGAATGTTTTGATAATTTTGTAGCCCATATTAATTGTTAATATTTCAAGATATAAAAAAACTTCATAATTTGAAATTAATTCGTATTATATTTGTATACACATATGTAGTTTTTACATATAAACATATATTTTTATACACACATTTAAAAATAAGCGCTTTTATTTTCCTTGCCTTTGAAACTAAAGCCGCATTCTAAAGCCATTTTAAAATTAGACTCGAACAATTCAAAACTTGGCGGCTAAATTACTTAAAATAAGCCCTGGTCGATTATTTTACTCGAGCTATCGATAAGAGTCGGCCGGAAAAAATCGAACGAATATCGGTCTTCGTTCCAGCTCTAACAAGAACACACGTGTTTACGTTTTTAGCAGATTGAACGCAATTTCTTTACTTTTACGACTTTTTCGGGCCTTACTTAATAACCGACAACTAAAATGGGGAGAAACAATCGGTCCAGAAAACGCCGCGATGAAATGAATAAGATAAAGAAGGCGCGATACGAAGCCAAGGAGTTAATTCGACTTAAGAAAACTCTGGGACTCCTAGATGCCGATGGAAATGAGATCATGAAGGAAATAAGCGATGTGGTCGAAATAAAGACCGCCAAGGAGCTAAAAAGGGTGAGTTCTGTGATATAAATGCATACCTACCTACAAATATACTTCATTTTACCTTATCCTGGTATTAAATATTTAATATTGTATTAAAAACAGGCTTAGCTTATTCCGATACTACCTTTTTGAATCCTTATTAAAAACCCAATTTCAATCCAACACCAGGAGGCCAAATCCAAGGAGGAGCAGGAACTAATCTACGAGCACCAGGAAAGTCTGGAGAAGGGGGAGAAAGTGAAGGTGACCAACGAAAAAACGGGCGTGGATCACATATTTAACAGCAAAACCCTCAAGGATCAGTACGGCAATTATCCTGCGTGGTTCAAGAAGAAGAAGACCGCCAAGCGTCTAAGGAAGAAGCAGCACTCGCAGAAAAAGAACTTCAAACAGGCCTGGACCACGGTTAATGTTCCCCTTTAAATCCGGGGCTGGTTTACCCATCTGGTATCTTATCGTAGTTTATAAGTCCTCGCTTAGTTTAGGAGATTTTGTAGGCTTTTTCTACAAAGATGTTATATCTAAGAGTTTGTTTTGCATATTAAAGCCTTAACAAGTTCTCAAAAACCCAGAAATAGTGTGAGCGTGGAAATTGAATAGTTATATCCATAACTTTTTAAAGCTACGAGTTATTATTGCATTTTAAAGCCTTAAAATCTACACACAGTTGCGGTGTCATGTGAACAACAAGTATCCAACGCTTAAACTATACACAAAGTGGAGTTACATTATGCTTTAGCTCTACTGCACGTGGAAAATCACAAAATGGGAAAATTCAACTAAAATCGGTGTCAAATCTCTACTGAACGGAACAATAGCTGCGCACACTGCAAATCACTCCGGTGGTGGCTGCCTCCAAGCGTCGTGTATTCGCCGACCAGATGTGCGTGGTGGCCAGAGCCGTGGATGCGGATCGGGCACTTACTCCTGCGGGTCATTCTGGCTTCTCTTTAAGCTCCAGTCTCTCCGTGGACTCGCTATCGGGCTCCGCCTGCTCCTCCTCGACGTTGCCGTGCATTACATTGGGATTGGCCTTCAGCACGGAGCCACCGGTGAAGCCCAGTATGCCACATCCCACCGCCGCCAATCCTCCAGCTTTCATACCCGCCACCAGTCCAATAGGTCCACCCACACAGGTGCCCAGAAGAGCTCCAACTACGGGGTACATGGCCTTCTTATAGGTTAGCGCCCGGCGCAGATTCAGCTCGCCTTGCTGGACGTTCTCCAGAGCTTCCTCAGCATTGTCCGCTATCTTCTCCACCGCCACAGATTGCTCTGAAGTCAGTTGACGCATTCCCTGGAACATTCCGTGCAGATCGTAGATCTCCTGTTGCAGGTTCTCCATCTGATCCAGGCAGGATTGTCTCTGGGCCAGTTGGTGTTCCTCCAGCTGGAAGTTGAGTTGCAGCTGGGGCATGTGCCGGTGTGCGGGTAAGCAGTTCATATCCACCTCCTGTGGCTGATTGTCCAGGTCGTCGTCGCACTGGGAACTCAAAGTGGAGGTAGGAGATTTAAGCTGGAGCTCTAAAATTATAGTATGTAGTTATATTAGATCCGAAGTGATTAAGAAGGCACTTCCAACTCACCCGCAAATTCCTTCATGCCAGCGAAGGCAGTATCCCTGCCAGGTTTCATTAGGTCATCAAAGCGTTCCAGATCCTCCTCCCGCACCTTTTCCCGTAGTGCGTCCATTTCCAGGAGAAGATTCTTGATCTGTTTGATGACTCTTAGAGCATTGAGTTCCTCTTTTTTTATTTTTTGCCAGTCGCCCAGTGCCAGACTTTTCTCTATATTGCTACGGTGGTTTTTTAGGAGGCTCAGATGGTGGGGAACCTATGAGTGCAAAGGAATTAATTTCGTACTTCAGAAGATATGGTAAATAACCTACTGCCACATCCTGAAACCTTTGGATGGAGACCTCCGCCTGTTTGAGTGGCAGTTTCTCATCGCGCGTCATCGTGAACTGAAGACTTTGAGCTCGCACCGCCTTGATTTTTAATCAGTTTTAATTGTGGTAAAAGTGAAATCGGGGGGATCAGTTTCTATAACACCCCCCACCCCTTTTTTTCCAATGGACCTTGCTTAACAGATTCCCCTGGTTTTTCTGCGCAGTTTTTGCTTTGTTTTGCCAGTGACGTCACGGCGTGTCTTTCGGGATGTTTGCAGTGAGTAATACGATGTTGTTGTTAATGAAACTACGGTGACATGGTTCCAATCATGCTGGCTTGTCCCCTATATTTCTACTGATAATATTTCTATTGTGCAGTCCAATTATTTGTTTGTTATTGGTGATAGGGATGGCACAAAGCTCGATACTACCGATTATTGCGCAGCCTAGCCCACACTCGATATTATTCCTACAATTATCGATTGTCCCCGCTATCTGAGAGGTGGGAGTCCCCGCTTAAAGGTCAGCTTACTGCCGAGGTCATAGAAATAGTAGTCTGCTCACAATTGTTGCAGTTTAAAAATATAATAACAAACTTGTATGTTGCGCGTTAAGACTTACTCTATATGAAAAATGATTTTGTACCTGTATTGCAGTAATTTAGTCATTTTTATTCCAGATACAAGAATTTAATTTGTAGCTTCCATTTCAATCAGTTAGGAATTCCATAAAAGTAAACCATTCAAATCAGAAAATGCATTTATTCGGGCAGTAATTTCTCATTTAAATTAAAATTATATACAGATACATGCAGAAACTAATCGGTGCACCACCACATGGGGTGGTGCAGAGTGCGGTGGTGCGCTTACGGCTATAACTTTAGATCTCGATACATTTATGACACGTTCGCTTAAGTACTAATAGCCCCATCCGAGGGCTGATACTACAGACTACAGAGGCACTCGACTCGCATTCGGGAATGGCTTACAAGCAGGAGCAGCTACACATGAACGGAGTGGTCAATTAAGTTAACTAACATATAATAATAGCGTAGGGAAATGCAGTTCTGTTTAGGGGCAGTTGGCATTGGGGACATTCCGGCACTTCAGCAGCAGGTTCAGCATCCCCTCCAGCTTGTTGGTCCGGGACTCCGTCTTGTACAGATTCGTTTGCAGTCGATTGACATCCTGAGCCTGCTTTTCCTGGGGGTGCACGAAAGTAGTTGTTTAAATATAAATATAAAAATATATATATATGTATATAAAATACAAAAATAATATTTACCAGCGTGCTAAGCCGGCTTTTCAGTGTGTCCACCACACTGTAGGTGGCCTGAAGGGACTTCTGCAGCTCGTTGGTGTGCACTCGCTCATTGGCCAAGGACTTTTCGATCTTCTGGAGCCGCGTGGCCACCTCCGTGTCCGTATTGTCGATGTCGTTCTCCAGATCTCGAGCCTCGAACGCATCGTCCCCATTCGTGGACACCTTCTTGCAGCTCTGCTGATCCGAGTGGAGAACGAATCCCTGACGGCAGCGGCAGACGTAGGATCCATGAGTATTAAGGCACTGTTGATCGCAGGGCTTCTCCGTCTGGCACTCATCCACATCCTGCTCGCAGTAACGTCCTGTAAAACCAGGTGGACAGCTACAGGTGCTAGGAGCCGTACAATTGCCACCGTTTTGGCAGCGCGCTGCACAAATCGCTGCAGATAATTATAAGATATATTTTAGAAAGCTGGATAACAATAATAAATACAAGTATTTGTAATCTATGTTGTTTAAGACTCACGTTTCATGCACGAGTCCGACCTTGGGTTTTCCCGGCTCCATCCCGTGCAGCAGTCGTAGGTCATCTGCTGGGCGGTCTTGTGATCAATGACGTCCCGGTAGGCCTTCTCGTTAACCACCTGGACCATTGTGCACTTCTGGCCACTGAAGGTGGGCGGCTGGCAGGGCGTGGCCACGTGCTTCCAGGTGGGACGAAGGTAGACCTCCGTTCGTTTCACGGGCATCGTGATCGTTCGCTGTTGCATGCAAATGTGCCGCCTGAAATGAGTTGCAAGGAAAACCAGAGCGAGGTGTGAATCGAATGGGATTGGAATGGATTCGAGCGGTGTGGCTGACCCAAATCAGCGGCTCATCATCTGCAAAAGTGAAACTGACTTTTCCAGACGACTTCGGCCAATTACAGTCATAACGACAGAGCAACAGAGAAACAGAGCCAACAGGTTGTTTTTGGGAGTGGGATCTGGGCAATTGTCACATGTGTCTGGAAGTGCCAGCAGATTGGATTGGATTCGATTGGACTGGGTACGACATTAGCGTGTTCGCGTATCTGCGATGACAAACACGACACGCTCCCAACCGATGACTTGCAGCCATGTCAGCCATGTCATTTGCTTGCCCGCCATTCGGACTCAGATTTGGAGGAGCAGTCAGATGGCCACTTGGCAGCATGGCCACTTGGCAACCAAGTGCTCCAGTTCACGCAACCGACAGTTCAGTGGCTGTCGAACCAAATTTGAAGGCTTGTCAAACCGTTGACAGAAATATCACAAGGATATTCAGTATAAGCCGTAATCTCAAACAAATCTTCCTAACAAAAAATATATACAATTTTATAGTATCTATCTATACTAGAAAATGTAAAAGAACTCCACAAATTTAAGTTTTTTTTTACTAAGTACTTTTTTTTTGAAAATGACTCTTCAGCCGTTTTTGTTATTACTTTACACACACTAAAACGCATAAGAGTATTTTAAGCTTATTCTATGCGAGTACACTACCAACTTCACACTTTATAATAAGTCTTTATATGTGATCCTGTGCTTCTCAAACTCTGTCAAAATGCAATAACCGAAGTGCCAATGCTCCTAAGACCTTTGGCCCCAAGCAGCCAAACATAAAAAGCGCTGATAATAAGCAGTTTTTGATTGTGGTTGCCAAAAAAACGATGCAAACTGGCCCAAAAGCGAGGTGCATCCCATAAATTGGCAGGCTGTGGGGCTGCGAATAAACGCTGCTGTTGGATGTAGCTGCTGTGCTGCAGCAGTTGCTGCTGCTGCAGTTGCGGCTGCAGCAACTGATGCTGGCTCGCTGATGGTGTCGTAATTGGCAATGCGGGCCAAAAACAATTGCGAACGCGTGACGTGGCCACTGAGTGACGACTGACTGCTGCGATCGCTGGCCTTTTTGCTGGCCATTTGGCTGGCCAAAATTTTGCGATTTAAAAGCGGAAAGTGGCACACAGTTGGCCACAATGGTCCTGCGACCGGGACATTTACCAATTTCTTTATTGCCGCGCTTGCATATTTATGCCCTGTTCTTTTTTCAATTTTTCTGTTTTTTTTCCCTCCTGTATGTTGTCTGCTGTAACTGGCTTCTCTTGTACCATAATTCTCACGTTATTTATGCGCCAGCATTCTGAGCGTTAAGGGCGCCAAACAAAGCCAAAGATACTGGCCTCCATTTCCACCGAAAACAATAACAAGAACGGCCAAATAAAATGCGGAAGTCTTCTCCCGAAAAGAAGAAACGGTGCCAACAAAGTGCAACATGGAATACTCATTCCGATTTCCATCTCCAATCCACTGGCTGCATAAATCTCCGAACGGATTCAGTGCACGGAAAAAATCAATTAATAGGTTCCGTGTTAATTGTTTAAACTAACAAACTCGTATAAAGTATTAATGCGGTCAACCAACTAATTATACTGCATCGAAATGTACTTTTATGTGTTTTTAATTCAGGTTATTCAAATATCCCTAATTATATTTAAGATTGATATGCTCGTACAAAATTTTCTTCCGTGCAATTGCAGACGATGCACCCCGACCCCAGGCCGATCGGCCCCGCCCCCTCCGCCCGTCGGCGCATTGTATATATCCCGCTGCGCCAGACAGCGCCAGACAAAAGTGTAATCGCATGCATGTGTGCTGGTGAATGGATGGATGGCTTCATTGCTTTGTTTAGAAACGTTTAGGCTAAAATTAAATTTGAATTTTTAATTGCTGAAGGCCCGAACACCTGTGGCTAAGTCTTAAGGTTCTCCGTTGGCTTCAGAAGTAAAATTCAAGGGTTCCCTGCCAACGGACCCATAAAATTATAAAAACATCAATCAAAATTGCTTCGATTTTATATGGAGACATACGCAGAGCAGCAGCAACCAGAAATAAAATGCAAGCGGGCCAATTAATCAAAAAATTAAAACTGTTAAATTTTACAAGAAAGGCAAGGAGACAAAAATATTGGCCACTCAAAACGCAAGAGGAGATCCAAAAAATGCACTTAAAGAAAGGCAGTTAAAAATGAGAAAAGAGTTGGGGAACTCAGATTCGAAACACGGACCAAAGCGTCGAATGCCGTTTATTGATTTACGATTTATTTTCATTGGCCGCCACGCAGAAATTAATGAGCCATCGATGGCTGCAGGCCAAAAAGGTGACCCCGAGCGGGTGTGTGGGCTTAATGGAGTGTGTAGATGGGTCCAGGGCTAATAAATGGATAGAGCTCGGAATTCATTATAATCTCGGATCCCTGCCTCGCGAAGATGAGTCATTTCCCGTGCTTCAATAAAATTATACGGAAAAGGATTGTATGGATTATAGATCTCCCTACCATAAGATTTTTATTAAAAACCAGAAGTGAAAGATAAATAAGCATTCATATCTTTTTATTTAAATTGAGATCAGCTTCTGCTCTTTATGAACTTTTATCCTTGTCTACAGCCTCTGAAAATTGATAAATATTAACAAGGCATCAAAATATTATTCCCTTCACTAAAGTTTGCTTTTTTAATTAAGTTTCAACACTTAATATGTATATACTTTAACAAGTCGCATTGTATTCAAAATAAGCCAGACCTTGGGAATCTTATTAAACCTTTTTGATGGGAATTGTAATTTATTAAACGTGTGCAGCTAAAATTTCCTTTGTGTACAGATGGAAATTTGTTTATAGCTGAACAAATTAGGCAGATAAAATGGGTTTTAGCCAAAATGAAACCCCAGTTAGATGGCCGGCCATTATAAACTATAAAGAGCCTTTCAATAGAGTTAAACCCGATTTAAATCATTTTTATTAAGCTCTTTTGAGATTGGGTCATTTCGGAAACCCGTTTGCATTTTGTCAATCTTTACAACGTCTTTGCAACGTGAATGCATTTAAAAAACAGTTAAGGCGAATAGTAAAAACCTAAGCCACAAAAACTTGGCGACACTTAACGGCTGTAAACATCTAAGATATGCTGGAGAAAAGTGCAAGTCTAGCTCCGCGTATCTCGTTTCCAAATGAAAATGGGAAATAAATTTATAGAAACATAAAAATATTGTTGTCAGGGTCGTAAAATGAATTTTTATGGTCGCGTACGGAGTGGAGGAGTGAAAATGCTTTTGGCCCGGGCCAAGACCAAATCCAAATGCCAGCAGGCTGGCCCCGAAGCTTGGCTAAAAAAA